CCCAATTCCCCAGTAAAAAAAATCTTAAAAAAAAAAATAAATAAAATAACCACAGGTTATAAGTCAAGTAGCTGTTTTTAAAAGCCAAAGGTAGACAGCTGGTAATGCACACACTACTTCCCTAGAGAGCCGATGATCTCCCTCAGGTAGTTTCAAGTTCAAATCATATTCTGGCTCACTCTAGAAGAAACATTTATCGATCCCCTGACTCCCTGGACAAAAGCATATAAGAGAGATAGGGAGCATGTCCACAGCCAGAGGACATGTGAGTGCTATTAAATGCTATTAAAATCTTTAAGTCCCAAAAAACAAACTTGCAAGCTACTCATCGTGAGGGTCAGAGGAAAGAACTAACATTTTTGGATGGAAATGATGGATGGCGATATCCTTGTGGTAGACAGGATAATCATTAAAATAGCATATTATTATATTTCTACTCTAACGACTCCAAATCATCAAAGTTATTCTTCACTGAAATTAGCTCAAGGTTTGAGAGTAATAGCAAGGGGAATATTTCAAATGGGAAGCAGCTGAGATTTTGGACAAAACTTTACCTTCCTAATTTGACATTCCTGTATTTCGGGGTCAGGGTTATATATTTGTGTTTCTCAAAATTAGTACTTGTATTTCCCACAGTAAGGTTTTACACAGGCTGCCAGACTATCTGCAGCGTGTCATGGTTATCCATCTGTGCTTCCCATAATTAGTACTGGCCCCAACAAACAATAAGTACTCAATAAATTGTATGTTAAAGTAATTTTGCAAAGAAAGCAGCGAACTAGAGCCCTCTTGGCTCTAGTTTTAAAAAGGGAGGGGTACTCACGAGAATCAAACTTCCAAGCAATGGTGATGCCACCAATTTCAGAGTCGCTGAATCTCAGCAGGAAGGTCCCATCTGGCTTGTTAATGAGTAGGTCGTGGGCCTGCTGCTTATTCACGAAACCCAAAATAGCCCTGGATCACAAAGGCCAAAGGAGCAGATGCAGAGTGTGATTGTTTAACGCCAGAAAGATAACCTTCATACTCTATTGCTGACTTAAGAAATGACGATTCTCACCCATCATTCCAATGAGGCTTGAGATGTTTTTTTAACACTTCCATCACGCCATCAAACCACTGCCAGAAAGTGTAGTTCCGTCCTGGTAAATTCTCCTGGTTGGAGATAAAACAATGAACACACGAAGGCAAAAGTAATACTCGAAATATTATCTGTATGGACTTCAACTGGAAAAATCAAATGGAAAACAAACAGCTACACTGTCAGAATCATACAAATATACATGCCTGCCTGAGTTTTCCCAAATCAATGGTCCTGCAACTAAAAAAAAAAAAAAAAAAAAGAACAGAGAGGAAAAGATGGAAGCAGGGGAAAATACTGCAGAGCAATTACCAGCACCCGCAAACCCTGCTCCAAGCACCTTCCCCTGGACCTGGNAACACACACACACACACACACACACACACACACACACACACACACTCCCTTCACTGGTGCCACCATGCATAGAAACACTAAAGTCACGACTAGTATTAACACTTCACATTATGAGTATTGTTTCCAAAGAGAAGTGATTCATGGAATTAAAACATCCACGAGAGTAACTCCTCTAGCGAGGATGAAGAAGCTGAAGATGAGATGGGAGGTCACGACTGCGCATGAGGGATCCACTGTGTGTCCATAGGTCGGCCTAAGAGTTCCTCCACGCGGCGTGCCACGTCCATCGTGTCATCCAGATCAAAGTCCCCATCGGTGTCAAGGACGGGGTCAGGGCTTGGGAAGGCAAGAGAAAGGATGAAATGGAAGAAAAAGGTTGTCAGAGGCCAATGACAAGCAGCAGAGACCACCCCAAGCCCCGCACCCCACCAGGTGAGCAGCCCAAGGCTTCCTGTACCCTCAGCCTAGGCTTCCAGGGAAAGAACCACTTCTGATCTACAGTCCTTTGCTAGCTGGACAGAAGGACACAGACTAAAATACCCAGCACCCAGCTGCCCCTAACACTGGCTCTCCAGACACATCTAAACGCCACCTGGTCCTTATACAGAGCAAGAAAAATCTCCATTTTGGGAGCAGATGGTATTTACCTAACCCCACTCTAAACTACCAATATATTCTGGTCCCATCTCTCCCCGCTTGCACCTTGGCACATGCCAGAGCCCGGCCCGGGCTGGGCGGTCTCAGACCTAGAGACCGTTGCCTATTAGCCCTCCAAGGTCCAGCCGGAGGCCAAGCGCCCAGTTCCTCCCCACGGAGCCCCATGAGAACACAACCTACTTCTGTGGGTACATGTTATAAGGAGCCTGGGGACACACGACTGGGGAGGGGGCCTGGTCCATGTAGGTGGCGCTGCTCCCGGCAGAGTCTGCAGATGTCACAAACCTGTGAGAGGAAGCAGAGCAGAGCCTCAGAGGCCTGGGGCAGGGGCTGACTTGGGGAGGGGCTCAGGGGACTTGTCTTTTTTAGGGGTAGAAGGATAAAGTGCCCCCTGGGCCTGGGGTTCTGGTTGCAGGAGAGGGGCCCTGGGTACTGGCCCCATGGTGACCAAACCCTGTTCCCTCCCCAGAGCGGAGCCAGGTTTCGGGGGAAGGGAACACTGGGCCTGTGAATGGGAAAGGAGGGTGGCAATGAGGGGTGAGGACAGTTGGGGGAGGGGGGCAGAGGCAGCAGGACACCAGAGCTGGCCCTTGGACACTTACTCAGGGACCACTTGCTTGATCTGTGGCTTCACGTATCCATCCACTGCTTTAGCTGTGAAGGGGGGAACGGTGATGAGAACCAGTTCTCAAATGAAATAAAAATACAATCTCCCCTATGAATCACATCTTTTCTTAGGATAGGACACAACCACCTAATTTTATCTTAGGATCTGGTACAAGCACTTAACATTTCAATCTGCTAGGAAGGCCTGGCAGAGAAGCCTCAATCAATACTAACACTGCAAGTAAAGAGATCTTCCAAGTTGGCTAGGATGTGTTAATAAATTCTTCAAACCACAGAAAAGATACACTTCAAAACAAATTGAGATCAAGCATTAGTTGCATACTAACTGTAAAAAGAAAAAGTATCTTAAAAAGTTAAAGTCGCATATGCAGCAGAGGGACAGGACTTGCTATGTCCTAGGGGACAAAATTGGGACCAACAGGAGGAAATCAGAAGAGAACAAATTCTAATCATATAAGGAAGAATGTTGTCATAATAAGGGCTACTCTCCTCACCGCCCCCC